ACTCTAAGATGTGTCCCCTGAAATCTCAAGCCTTTTCGACACCAGGACCTGAAACCTCCAAAATTTCTCAAAAAGTGTGGATATTAGCCTTCAATTTTGGAATTTTTTGACTTTTTTTTCGCCCGGAAATATTAATTGCCGAAATATATACCATGGACCCTAATACCCTCTAGGAGTCCGATTGGGTGGGTGGAACCATCCAATTTTTCTTTAAACAACCAATTTTCCGATTTACAACTTGCACCGATTTCATTATTTCAAGCCTACCACGTACATTTATGACAACATATAAAGATCATATATGGTTCAAAACTCCTTATATGAATCCGAGATGTATCTCATAAAATCTCAAGCTTTTCGATATCGGGGAAACCTCAAAAATTTCTCAAAAAGAGTGGATATTAGCCTTTAATTTTGGAATTTTTTTACTCTTTTTCGCCCGGAAATAAAAATTGCCGAAATGTTTACCATGGTCCCAATTCGCCTATAAACGACTAATTGACTGGTTTACAACTTGCACTGATTTCATTAAGACAAGCCTACCACGAACATTTATGACAACTTATAATGGTCATATATGGTTCCAAACGGCATTATATGACCAAGAGATGTATCCCCTAAAATCTCAAGGATTTTCGATACCGGGCCTCGAAACCTCCAAAATTTCTCAAAGAGCGTGGATATTAGCCTTAAATTTTGGAATTTTTTGACTTTTTTCGCCTGTAAAAAAATTGCCTAAATTTTTACCATGGTGTCTAATACAATCCGGGAGTCCAATTAGGTGGGTGGAACCATCCAATTTGCCTTTAAATGGCGAATTTATCGGTTTAAAACTTGCAACGATTTCATTAACTCAAGCCTACCATGAACATTTATGACAACCTATAATAATCATTTATGGTTTAAAAAAGTATTATATGACCCCGAGATGTATCCCCTAAAATCTCAAAGCTTTTCGACACCGGGTCTCGAAACTCAAAAAATTTCTCAAAACGCGTGGATATTAACCTTCAATTTTTGAATTTTTTAACTATTTTTCGCGCGAAAATAAAAATTGCTGAAATTTTTAACATGGTCCTTAATACATCTGGTAGTCCAATTGGGTGGGTGGAACCACCAATTTACTCTCAACGGTCAATTTACCGGTTTACAACTTGCACCGATTTCATTAACTCAAGCCTACCACGAACATCTATCTATGACAACAAATAATGATCATAAATGATTCCAAATGACATTATATGACCCCGAGATATATTCCCTTAAATCTCAACTCTTTTAGACACCATGCCTTCAATTTTGGATTTTTTTTTTTATTTTTTCGCTTGTAAATAAACATTGCCAAAATTTTTACCATAATCCCTAGTATCCTTTGGGAGTCCAATTGGAATGGTGGAACCATCCAATTTTTCTTTAAATGACCTATTAACCGGTTTATAACTTGCACCGATTTCATTGACTCAAGCCTACCACGAACATTTATGACAACAAATAATGATCATATATGGTTCCAAACGACATTAAATTACCCCGAGATGTATCCCCTATAATTTCAAGATTTTTCGACATCAGGCCCCGAATCCTCCAAAGTTTCTCAAAAAGAATGGATATTAGCCTTCAATTTTGAAATTTTTGACTTTTTTAGTCCTGAAATAAAAATTGCCGAAATGTTTACCATGGTCCCTAATACCGTCAGGGAGTCCTATTGGGTGGGTGGAACAATCCAATTTGCCTTTAAACGACCAATTTACCGGTTTACAAGTGGCACCAATTTCATTAACTCAAGCCTACCACGAACATTTATAACAACAAATAATGATCATATATGGTTCCAAACAACATTATATGACCCCGAAATTTATCCCCTAAAATTTTAAGACTTTTCGACACCGGGCCCCGAAACCTCCAAAATTTCTCTAAAAGCGTGGATATTAGGCTTCAATTTTGGAATTTTTTGACTTTTTTTGTCCGGAAATAAAAATAATTGCCGAAATGTTTACCATGCTCCCTAGTACCCCAGGGAGTCTAATTGGGTTGGTAGAACCATTCAATTTGCCTTTAAACGGCAAATTTAATTACCGGTTTACAACTTGCACAAATTTCATTAACTCAAGCCTACTACGAACAATTATGATAACATATAATGATCATATATGGTTTCAAACGACATAATATGACCCGAGATGTATCCCATAGAATTTCAAGACCTTTCTATACCGGGCCCCGCCGAAACCTCCAAAATTTCTCAAAAAGCGTGTATATTAGCCTTCTATTTTGGAATTTTTTGACTTTTTTTGCCCGGAAATAAAAATTGCCGAAATGGTTACCATGGTCCCTAATACCCCCCGGGAGTCCAATTGGGTGTGTGTAACCATTCAATTTTCTTTTAAACGACCAATTTACCGGTTTACAACTTGCAATGTTTTACCGGTTTACAACGGCCAATTTAATTAAGTTGCACCGAACCCGAGTTGAATTGAATTGACCCAAACCCTTTTTAACTAGTCAAACCCAAATTTCACCCGACTTGTTACTAACCTGACATAAATTCAACCCGACTCGTTCCTAACTTGACCAAATTTAAGCCAAATGAAATCAACCCGACTTGTTATTGACCTAACCCAAATTCAACCCAACTTGTTATTAACCCGACTCGAATTTTACCATAACTATTACTAACTCGACTCAAAAATTCAACTCGATATGTTACTAACCCGACTCGAAATCAACACGACTTGTTATTGACCCGACCTAAATTCAACCCAAATTGTTTCTGATCACCCGATTTCAAATCACCTTAAATGCAATTTAGACCATCTTTTTATTGTTGATAAAAGCATTATTTTGTCTAGGGAGACCAAGTCGGTTCAGGACAACAAAACGAAAGGAGCATCATTTTCAAATTTAAGAGTTAAATATAGTATATATTTGTTGTATGGTTAAAGGAGATAATTATCTTCCTAAATTATATACTATAGTTCCCTAGTATATTGCCATATATATTATAGTCAAAGGAAATAATTAGTTTGATAAAAATGATAATTATCTATTTATAGTTAGTTGAACTCGAATATAACCTGACTTGGAAATGACCCGACCTGATTGTAACCTGCAAATTATTGACTTCAACATAACCCGATTGAATCCGAGAATGACCTGACTTGAAAATGACCCAACCTGATTATAACCCGCAAATTATTGACTTGAACCGAACTCGACTTGAAAATGACCCGACCTGATTATAATCCGCAAAATATTCACTTGAACCGAACTCGACTCAAACCCGAGAATGACCCGACCTGATTCTAACCTGCAAATTATTGACTTGAACTGAATCCGACTCGAACCCGAGAATTACCCTAACCCGTGAAAACCCGAATTAAACCCGACCTATTGTTCACCGACCCGAATGTAACCCGACCTAAACCCGACTCAAACCCGATAAGAAGTATGACCTGACGTGACCCGACTCAAGCATGACCCATCCCAAACCTAACCCGCATAGGTTATGGAATTAATCTGAATTGACCCAACCCGAGTTGACCCAATTCACTTTTACCCGTCCCAAACCCGACTCGTTTATCCGAATTGACAGCTCTAATTCCATCTAATGTTTATGTAATAATGTTCTAACACGTAGCATTTATTTTGATATAAAACAGATTTGGTTAGTTGGTCGGATATTTGATCGGATCAACTTAGTTATTTAGTTTATTTCATGTTCGTATAAATATATATATTAGGGATGATTCTATAGTTGTTATTTGGACCATAAGTCCATAACATATATATATGGTAGCCTTGGTCTGAGTTGTAACTGGCCAGTAATAAGTATAAAGCTTTATTTTAATTATAATGATATCCTCGCTATTTTTATTATATTAGTTTGATTTGGTAAAACATTCGCTTAAGGTTTCATATAAGCTTTTGAGATTTAGGCATGTGCGCACGTCTTGGGATATTTTGTTGCAATTATTTTGATTGGAAGATTAAATTCTTCTTCAGAGGTTTTTTTAGTGCGGCAAGCCACATAGTGCGGCACGGTTAATTGTATTTTAGGGTTACTTGTATTTTGGGGTTACTTGTATGGTATTACTTGTATTATGAGGTTACTTGTATGGGTTACTTGTATCGTGAGGTTACTCGTGTGTGTTACTTGTATTCTGAGTAACTCCAGACCAAAATCCCATACCAAACCAGTAACACCCTACAAGTATCCCCGACCCTAATCAAAACCAATAACAACCATATAAGTAACACATGACAAAACCAGTAATACCCTACAAGTAACCCCGACCAAAACCAGTAACACCCATACAAGTAACCCCATAATACAAGTAACACCCACAGGTAACCCTCGACAAAACCAGTAACACCCTATAAGTAACCCCGACCAAAACCAGTAACACCCATATAAGTAACCCTATAATACAAGTAACACCTACAAGTAACCCCTGACAAAACCAGTAACACCCTATAAGTAACCCCGACCAAAACCAGTAATACCCATACAAGTAACCCCAGAATACAAGTAACACCTGACAAAACCAGTAACACACTATAAGTAACCCTTGCCGCACCATGTGGCCAGCCACGTACAAAAATTTGTAATTCTTCTTTATTTGCATTGTGTTCATGCATGCTAGCTAGTAGATTAATTCTAAATTCAAATTTGATAGCAGCATTATACTCCTATATATTATTTATATTATTATGGATTGCTTTTCAATTACAGTACTAATTTACCCATTTACAACTATAATATTACACCATTCTTTATTATTAACTCATTGTCGTCATTCCCTACAAATTAAACAATGTGATTCCAAACAATACATAAGACCTTGATGAGATGCACTGTAGGGATGTCAGTGGGGCGGGGATGGGTTTTGTTTGTTGAAATCATCTAAATGAATAGATTATTAATTTTCAATTATTTTATAATAATACTCAAATATTTGCATCTGCGTACGTGCAACCCTAGAAAAATGGAGCAAATATTAAAATATATGAAGGGAGTAGTTGTCACGAATGGCTAAAAAGGAATAATAGTATACAAATACTAGTATATGAATTATGAATAGTGACCTGAAGCTAAGTAAAAGTTTGATCAATTTTTTTTATTTTATTTTTTTCTATAATAATTTTTTTTTTTTTTTAAAATACAATTGAAACTTAATAAAGAGAATTGGTCCCTTAGAATAATATATCAATTAGTGCCACCAAACATCTTCTTGAGCTTCTTAATTTGTGCATCATCTAGCAAGGCAACCTTCTTAATCAATTCCGAGGGTAGACTGTTTCCAAACAAAGCAGTGTCAACTATTTGAATACCAGGATTTTCACTTGCGAAACTTGCGTACGCAAGAACCGGCGTTGATCCTACATTAACTTGGAAGTGTAGTAATGTTGGTGGGAAGATCATTACGTCTCCTTTGGTTAAAGTTTTATAGTATGCAGTGTTATTTGTATCGATAAACCCTGCAATAATTGTTCCTTCTATAACGATGATAAGCTCAGACACTCGATGTGTGTGGATTGGTACAACTCCGCCTACCTCCAAGTCTGCTCGTGTAATGGAAAGACCCATACCATTCAAACCCGGAAATTGAGGGACAAATGCCGTACTTGCACCAAATTTGAAAGGGTTTGCGCTGTTACCAGCTACCCTCAAACCCGAATAAACAAAATCATCAGCTGTGACTTTTGCAGGATTCTTACAAGAATATCCCGCCGGACTACTAGGTAGGCTCAAGTCTCCAACACAATAGTCGGATTGAATAATATTAGCATAAGAGAGAGATACTAGGAGAGAAAGAACGGAAAAAATAAGCAAATTCATCTTCGGAAGTGTATGTATTTTTTGTGGAAAATGCTAACAAGGGTGTTTTTATTATTTTTCGTTTATTTAGACATATTCATTTTGAGGGGTTTGTAAGCCTATTTATATACACTCTAATACTCAACGAATATAAGACAAGATATATGGGTAGGTTATAATTTACTAATTTACTGACTTTCTTACATACGTGTTCTATCTAATGGAGTTGACTTTTTCAATTCGATGTGGTAATCATTAAAATGATTACCCAATTAATCATTAAAGTAGTTGATGTTTAAGTATGGATAATATGGTTTTAAAAATGGTTTGCGTGCACGACTTCAATGAGCTCTATTAACCACATGTGTAATATTCACTCGAGTCTAACCCAATATTTTAAAATATTATTATATATTTTGTTGCACCTTTCTTTGTATTCCGAGTATAGGTTTGAATTTTTTGGCTCACTATTATAAATCATCTATAATTAAAATTTATGGAGTTTGCAATTAGTCAGTACATCCTCTATATGGACATATCCGATGGAGTATCTATTAGCTACCTGTATAATGCAACTTAAAATAAAATGTTGTTGATGTATGTCCCCATAGTACATATGTCGCTGTATCATAAAAAAATTTCTCGTCTAAATCATAATTTTTTTATAAGTTCAAAGTTTTTTTTTTAATACTAGCTAGTATAAAAAAGCTGTTTTTAATTCTTTGAATGTTTTTACTCTAGATAAATGTGTCCCTTTTTTATCAACTAATGAGTAAATTTATCTGGCATTTTTGCATTTGTTAATACTTCTCCTAAAAATACACGGATAAAAAGTTTATTAATAAACTTATTGTAAACAAGTATCACAATGAATTTATTTAAACTGTGCATTGCACATTGGCACGGGAGTATAAACTAGTGGATGATAAAAACAATAAATAAAGACGAGAGATAAATTAGTAGACCAATTCAATTAGAGTGGAAATAAACAATCAGATTGATTACCTTGTGTATGTGAAAAGAAATTAGCATATTCATTTGTTTACGTATTATTCACGCGTTTTGGTAGCTGGAGCATTCATTTTATGTGATTATCTTTATAGTAGCTCTGATTTTGATTTAAAATAGATCTTTAATTAGTTTAATATGTGGGTCGAATAATGATTAGGTTAAGGGCTTGTTTGGCATTATTTTTTGTTTTCAGTTTTCAGTTTTTTTGAAAACAAAAAACCAAAAACAGGAAACAAGAAAAAGGTGTTTTCGCTTTTCTGTTGTTAGTTTTCAAAATTAGCATGATTTTAATAAGTTTGACTAATTTTTTATTCATTATATTACATATATCATACACTTTTAAAATACAAAAAACCAAAAAACTGAAAACTGCAATAATGCCAAACGAACCCTTAGTTTATACAAGTAATAAGTTCACCTTCGCATAATTATATCTTCTTGTCTATCTCACACGGTAGCCTTGGCCTGATTTGAACTAGGGGTGAGGTTTGTACGTGTAAGCTTTATTAATGATTTTCTTGTTATTTTATTTAATTAGGGTTATTTCATAGTTTGGATTAAATATTCAAGGTCTTAATATAATCTTTAGTTTTAAGTGGGTGAGATTTAGGTACGTCTTAAGAAATTTAAATTTGTTGCAATATAATCTTTAGTTTTAAGAGTGATTTAGTCATTGAGTGAAGCTAAGCTAGTAGTGAAAATTTATACTAGAATTTGATAGCATTCTAATTAAATGTCATGCATCGGAGTAGACTGTGGAGAAATTTCAAAATTTAAATATTTACTTTCTCTGTTCTTTTTTACTTGACCTGTTTCTTTTATCACGCTTGTCAATGCAAAACTTTAACGGTTAATAACTTTAATTCTCCATAATTAAAAAATATAAAATTTATATATTATGATAATACTTGTTGAGACGAATTCAAAATGATTCAACATAAATATGTTTTTCCTTACATATTATTTACAAAACACGGTCAAAGAAGGAGTGATGAATAGTGTAAAAGTCAAAGTAGATCAAGTAAAAAAGAACGAAAGAAGTAAAATTTAACATGAAATTGAATTGAGCTAATAGCTAAATACACTGATTGACCTGAAATTAAAAAAGTGGCCACCAATTACATAACAATATCATCGAAATAATTTCATGACTTCATGTCACCATGTGTCCTTAGCGACCAACCAACATTTGGACACTAACGATTTCATACGACTCTGTAATTATGAACTTTCCTTTTTTATTTAAATAATATATTTATAATTAGTTTAGCATAATCAACACATTTTGGATGTGGCTTGCGGCTAGCCACACCATAATAGAAAATATTAGCATTTATTTAAAATATTACTTTTTTATTTTGCGAACCTGACTCTAAGGTGAGATAATATATTGCTGTCCGTAGTACAAAAATTGGACACCACCTCCAAATTTTTCTTATGACATAATTATATATATACTAAAATTGTTGATTTATTTACGAAAATGCCACCATAACAGAAGCATTATTTACACCCAGTTTGAAAGGGTTTAATTTGCGCTATTAGCAGCCTCTCTCAAACCGGAATAAACAAAATCATCAACTGTGACTTTAGCAGGGTCCTTACAAGGGTATCCTGCCGGACCATCTGGTTGGCTCAAGTCTCCAACACAATAGTCGGAAACAATAGTAGCACAAGAGAAAGATACTAGGAATGAAAAGATGATAAAAATACGAAAATTCATTTTTGAAATTTAGACCACTTAGATTAAGCTTGGTGATTGTATGTATTGTGGAGATTGCTAACCAAGGGTGTAACCTTATTTATATACAAATAGTTTGTAACTTTGTATAAGATAAGATTTAAGATGGGTGACTAGACTATTGACGTTCTACATAGTACATACATTGTGCTTGCATGGTAAGGGGATCTATCGACTTTAATATTTCAATTTGATGTAATTAATTAATGGTACATTTGTGTTAATCAATAATTAGAGATATATCTATTCCCACTTAAATGTGGATCTTTTACCAAAACGGCTAGTTTTACAAAAATATTTACCAAAACGGCTAATTCTAAAATTTAATTCCCAAACTAGCTAATCTTATTGATTTGAAAGGATAATATTTATTTCTTATTATTTCCATTGAACCGGTTCGGTTCAGTCCGGTTCGGTTCACCTTCTTTCTTGTTTGATTTTATGACCCTGTGTGTTTGGTTCACAGATATAGCATATCTTGTGACATAATCAATAAGTTTATCTTTGTCACCAAACTCTTGACCCTTGTGCAATTGATAATCAAGGCTAACATCTCGAGAAGAACTAAATTCGTAATTCTCAGCATATTCAAAGTGCACATGATCAATAAAATCAGAATGTGAGGCTCTTCATATTCAATATCAAATTCAGACTCAAGAACTTCAATATTATTCTCTTCAATATTATTTGTGATCTCATTATTGAGCATTGGAACCTCATTAGCCACTATGTACGAGATAAGTTCATCCATATTCACATCAGAGGAGCAAGAATGACTAACAAGATCAAGCAATCGAGTAGCAGATTGTTCTCCGAACACATCCATTGTCTAATCTGCCATTATAATCACATAAATATATGTAAATTTTATTTATCATACACATTAAACAAAAAAAAAAAAAAAAAAATCATATTAGCCGACATTAATAGACATGAAAAAATGAACAATACCTTGAAATTTCTTATCGTCATATAAATTTGTGGTAGTCTTGATAGAACAATATTATTTGAAATTTCAAATTTTTATGATTGATTTGATCAAGATGAAAAATTAGGGCTTTAAATTTTTTTTTTTATTGAAATTAGGGTTCTTGCAACTGTTTACGTTAATATATCACGAATCAACTGCTTAAATTTTCCAACTTAACAAAATCTTTAAGGAAATAAAAATAAAACCCAAAAAAAAAAAGGTGAACCGAACCGGACTGAACCGAACCGGTTCAATGGAAATAATAAAAAATAAATAATATCCTTTCAAATCAATAAATTTAGCTAGTTTGGGAATTAAATTTTAGAATTAGCCGTTTTGGTAAATATTTTTGTCAAACTAGCCGTTTTGGTAAAAGACCCCTTAAATGTATTACTCCCTCCGTTTTCATATGATAGTCTCATATAGAGTCAAGCACATAAGATAAGAAACGAAACGAAACGAAAAATATTTGGAATCTAACTTTAAAGTACAAAATCATTCATAATTAGTTTACCTTATTTAAGTGTGTTGATAATTTTTTTTTTTTGTTTTTGGAAAAGCCTAATTCATAATTGCATATTCAATATGGGTAGATATTTTTAAAACGCCCAAAATTAGTTTTCCATAGATAGAGTCATGTCATCAATCCACAATCAATTAATTCCAAAAAAAAAATAAGTTTAAAATGGAATATATTCAATATGAGTAGATATTTTTAAAACTCCCAAAATAATATATAAACATAGTAACATTATAAAACAGAGGATCCCTCCATATGTTCCCGTTATATTAACAATAAATAAAGACGAAGAGAGATTAGTAAACCAATTCAATTAGAATGGAAATAAACAATTAGATTACCTTGTGCATAGGAAAAGAATATTAGCATGTTTGTTACGATCATTTGTGTATGCATTACTCCGCGTTTTGACTTATTTTTTGTCATTATATTTTCATAATAATTCTACAATGTCATTTTTTGAAAAAGGTACCACAATATGGTGACGTGGTAATTAATTGGCCTATATTTAACATTTTGATTTTCATTTTGAATAATTTTTAATGTCCATAATGCATAAAAATTGTATTTATATTATGTATTCATTTTAATACATGTATTGCGGCATATTTTGGAATTGGTGGTTGGTGGAGTTAAGATTGAGCTGCTCCTAGGCTTGCTTGGTTGGGCACCAAGGTTGTTGTTGGCTGCAAAATTGGCTGTTTTATGGGGTTTGTGGTGGCCGGAAATTGGGAAGGTGTAATTTAGAAAAATTGGCTGCAATTTGAGGTTTGTTTGAATGGGGATACTGTTAGTGGACCATCTCAACCAAAAACTTAAGCTTATGGCCCAGGAATATGTTTTATACTCTATCACTCCCCCTCACACAAGAGCCCGTTTGGGCTAGAAGTGTGGATGCAGCATGGGCCCTCCTCATACCCAGCGCTTAATATTCCACTTGAAAGTGGGGCTGGATGAGATTCGAACCCGTGACCTTTGTATCACGCTGGCTCCGATACCATGTTATAGGACCAACTCAACCAATGATAGAGTATAAAACATATTCTTGGGCCTCAACCATAAGCTTATGGTTGAGGCCCAAGAATATGTTTTATACTCTATCAGATACAGTATACTTGCTGTTAATTTAGAGTCTGTGCTTTGGAGGGTTCAAGTTTGACTAATGAAATTTAGAAAAAAAAAAAATCAGTAACCTCATGTTTTTATTTCGCAAGGTGCTAAATCATGATGAATTTTTTATTTCCTAAATTTTAATTTTCAAAAATTATTTTTAAAAAATTAAAATAGATTTTCAAATACAATAATGATGTATTTTTCAAAATACATGCATTTACAGTTATACATACATTATAGTACATTTTAACTTTTTAAAAATAAAGGAAAAATTGACCAATCATAACATGCCATATCAGCATGTAATGGTGCCTTTTTTTTTTTTTTTTTTTTTTTTTTTTTTTTTGAGAATTGACATAATAGAATCATCCTTGATTTTGTAATAAAATAGATTATTAATTAGCTGGTCGAATAATTGGATTAGCTTAGTTTATCATTGGTTCACATTTGCATAATTTATTTTCTTGTCATACACGGTAGCCTGATTTGTTATTAGCACTACTACAAAAATGGCCAAAGAGACCCAAATTAAGAGACCGGTTAAGTGCATAACAGGTCTCTTATAGAGGAGAGACCGATTATCTTGGTTGACAGGTCTCTCGAAATATCAAAGAGACCCGTCATTAAAGAAAATAGGTCTCTTGGGATTTTTTTAAAAAATCGAGGAATATAGAGAGACCCGTCATTTTAGATGACAGGTCTCACGTAATAACTAAGAAACCGGTCAATTATAATAACCGGTCTCTTGAATGTTTTTTTTTTAATGTGAGAAATTAGAGAGACCCGTTATTCTAAATAACAGGTCTCTCGAATTGATTTTCCCATATACACGTAGGCAGCCATAAGCCCATTAATTAAGTCCCAAACCCTAGAACTTTTTCACTTTCTCACTTTGTCCTCCGCCGCTCTTCACCCTCCTCATTTCATTTCTGATTTTCTTTCTCTCTCTTCTCTCTCCTCTCATCTTGATCCATCTTCCTCATTTTTCTGGTTTCTCAAACGAATCTCGCACAAAATAAAATGAAATTTACATCATTTACTTCTTTCTCAATCTTCACTCTATTGTTTCAAAATTTCAAGATCTAATATTGCCAAGGTGAGTTTTGTATTATTTTTCGTTATTAAGTGTTAATCTTCACCTTATTCGGTTTTTCTTGATGAAAAATCTAAATTTCTTATAATTATTGCCTTTTTACATCCTTTTTTATTGTTAAAAAACAATAATTAGTTCGAATTTTTGTTTAGCCATGAAAGTAGATTGTTTGTTTGCTTATAAATATTTTTGTTTCAAAACCTATTTTCGCCAATTTATTATGATATTTTCATTTAAAAACACCTTTCTTAGTCAGATCTAGTAATTTTCGTCTTTATTAATTTTGCATTTGATTTTCTATTTTTGTTTCCATTTTCAATTTCGATTTTAGCGCTTTAGATTTAAGTTCTTGTATTTTTTTATTCCTTTGAGAATTTCTTGACGAATTGTTCTTTATTAGGATGTCTTTGATATTAGTATATTTTTCTTGCTTTGATTTTGTGTTCAATATCATTTTAAACTAATTCTCGTATTTCGTTAGTTAAATTGAACAATTTCTCATATTTTTTTTATTGTAAACGAATTTTATTTTATATCTCATTTTAAACTAATTGATTTTTCATTTTCAATCTGTTCCTTATTATGTTTTATTTTCAGGATAATAATATTTGCGTTTGTATTTGTGGTTGTAGGTAACGATCTCTCAATTTTCAAGTTTGAACTGAAGAAATCTGCAATAGAAGATTTGGGAATTTTATAGTCATCATTTCCGGAAAATTTTATTTTTATTTATGTATTGAATTTTCATTCATATCTGTAAAATGTACATAATTTTTAGAGTGTATGAAATACAAGAATTATTTTTTTACTTCTTATTTTTTAACTTCTGATTCAACAATGGAATAAATAAATAAAATTAAATCAGTTATTATGGATGTTAATATCGATGAATTGTACGAGTAATTATAAAAAAAAAATATTTTTTTTTATTTAAAATGAGACCAAAGAGACCCGTTGAGTTGAAAAGCAGTCTCACTTTTCTCAAGAAAGAGATTGCTTATTAAAGACATGCGGTCTCAGTTTTTTTAAAACAGAGACCGCTTTTCTTATAAAGGCAGTCTCAATTTCCTAAAAATTGAGACCGCTTGTATTTAAGAGGTGGTCTTAGCTTTCTCATTCTAGAGACCGCCTCTAATAAAGCAGTCTCTTTACCAAAGAGACCATTGTGCTAGAGACCGCCTCTAAGACAGTCTCTTTGGCTAATTTGGACCGGTCTCTTTGGCCATTTTTGTAGTAGTGTAGGTTATAAGGTTTATACATTTAGGCTTTATTTTAATGATATATTCTTGTTATTTCGTTAAATTAGGTTTGTTTTAATAGTGCGGATTGATTATAAGAGGTTTTATATTTTAAGGGGCATCAAGAAGAGTAGGAAGTGCAAAAAAAATTATGTTAGCTTCAAACAATAATTAATAGGTTATATAAATAGTGGTTTGTAGAAGCGTCCAGTTGATTTTGTAATCATAATTCATTAAATAATTTTCAAAGCAATAAAAATTAAAAATTATGATTTGGAAATTTTATCAAGGAAAATAATAAGTCTACGTACTATTAGAGCCGAGGACGTCAAAGTCTTGCATGGCGTGCATGCATGAGAATTTTGCAACAATTACGTATAGTACATTATTCACTTCATTTTCACGTACTTTTTTTTACAGCAAAAGCCATGTTTTCATTTGTTCACCCACTTTATTTTCACTTATTTAAAGTCAAATAATAAATACATATATATATATATTTTCGAGGCAAAATACATATATATTTATAAAAAGGAAAGAAACTATTTAAATGTGAAATAAATCAAACATTTATACTCCATATATAAAACTTCAGTATTTAATAACTTTTTTAGAGGATTTCTCATTAGGATGTAAAATTGCACATTCTCAATGGAAACAATATATTTTACAAATTCTCCCAAATAGTATAACTTTTGGCCGTACTACTCTTGAAACTGAGCGCGTGGCGCCGCCGACACCCCACCTTGACTCCGGGTGATAAAAAAATTTGGTTCAGTCAAGTCAAGCATTCATATCTCATATCCAAATTCGAGCTTTTTTTTAGCCTGAGTTTGGATTTTTAACTAAATAAATGTTATTGAATTTGCCAAATCCGTCCTTTTTCAGGTCGGATTAGATTCGTGGGTTTTAAGTCATAGTTGATCACCTTTACAACAAATATGTTTCCCGTGAGAATGGTGCAAGCTAAGCTTATGTTGTACCCATATTGCTCTCCATTTTAACTCGTAATACGTTATTACTCATATATATAATATGATCCATACAAATTGATCGCACTAATCATAAAACTAGTACATTAAACATATAGTAGAAAGTATGAAAAATACGAAGTACTCTGTCTTAGATTATGATGAGAATTGAGAAGTCAGATGAGTTGCAAAAACACCAACAAAAAACACAATAATGGGTGCTAGGGGTTTCGAACCCACGAGGCCACAACCAATGTAAAGATATTATTACCAACATAAATATGGGCATTGTATTATATATAAATATTAGTTTTTTAATTAAACTAGTCAGAATTTTCCAGAATCCAGTATGGGTTCAGCTGAACCCATACTGAAATCGCCACTGGTCTGAACTTAGCTATTGTTGCCCATATTAGCATAATTCACGAAAAAAAAAAAAATCCTAAGACGAAGTAGGACACACCTTGGTCTACGTCTACTGTACACTCATAAGTATTTTTGTTTTCATTTTGATTAATGTTTTTTATTTAATCATTAAATGAACAACAAAACTAACCTTGGGTTAGTTGGATGTATATATAACAAATTCTACTCAAGATTATGCAAATAAAAAAACAAAAAAGAAAAAAAAAATCCTACTACCCTCAAAGAAGGAAGGCTTCAGCTTAAGAAAATTGCAAACACACCAAAAAATTCCTAATGATTCTAGGGTGATCTAGTGACGGAAGTGAATCCTAGTTATCTCATTCTCTATCACGAAAATCAGTCAACATAATAATATGATTCATATAGTAACAGTAGCTTAGAAACGGTCCAAACGGAGCTAAACTTAATCTTCAGAAAGCAAAACCAAACACTGAATTGGAAGAGTATACTCCAAAGTCCAAACATTATACTACGTAACAAAATTACACATATGAAAAGTGACCTGAAATTAATGTTTGATCAATTATTTTTTCTATGTATGTATATAAAATATAAAATAAGTCCAACTAAAACTTAAGAGAATTGGTCCCTAAGAATAATAGATCAATTAGTGCCACCAAACATCTTCTTGAGCTTCTTAATTTGTGCATCATCTAGCAAGGCAACCTTCTCAATCAATTCCGAGGGTAGACTGCTTTGAAACAAAGCAGTGTCAACAATTTGAATACCAGGATTTTCACTTGCGAAACTTGCGTACGCAAGAACCGGCGTTGATCCTACATTAACTTGGAAGTGTAGCAGTGTTGGTGGGAAGATCATTATATCTCCCTTGGTTAAAGTTTTATAGTATGCAGTGTTATTTGTGTCGATAAACCCTGAAATTATTGTTCCTTCTACAACGATGATAAGCTCAGACACTCGATGTGTGTGGATTGGTACAACCCCGCCTACCTCCAAGTCTGCTCGTGCGATGGAAATACCCATACCATTCAAACCCGGGAACTGAGGGGCAAATGCGGTACTTGCACCCGATTTAAAAGGCTTTGCGATGTTACCAGCCACTCGCAAACCTGAAAAAACAAAATCATCAGCTGTGACTTTTGCAGGATTCTTACAAGAATATCCCGCCGGACTACTAGGTAGGCTTAAGTCTCCAACACAATAGTCGGATTGAATAATATTAGCATAAGATGTAGATACTAGGAGAGAAAGAACGGAAAAAATAAGTAAATTCATCTTTGGAAATGACTTTAATTGGTTATATGCTAGCAAGGGTGTTTTAATATTATTCGTTTATTGAGATATATTCATTTTGAGGGGTTTGTAAGCGTATTTATATGGGTAGGTTGTAATTTACTACTTTGTTGACTTTCCTACATATGTGTGTTATGACGTAAAGGGACTTTTCAATTCGATGTAATTACTGATGTCACTTATAACCTTTAAGTGGTAATCAATTAATCAGATAATTAACTGAGATAGCAACTGAGAATCCTTTACACGCCTATCAATTCCCAACATTGTTGTAAAAATTATTATTACTCATATAAAACTAGTTGATGTTTATGCATCAATAATATGGTTTTTGACATAAATTTTACATGCACAGCTTCAATGAGCTCCATTACCCACATGTGTAAAGAGAACACCTTGGGGCTAAACTTGCTTTAAGGGGATGAATTACTTGTGTTAAGCAAGGAAGCATTGGATGGTTGAACTTCAACTAGGCATATCTCTCAAACTACTTAGAGTTTTTAGGCAATTCAAATTGGAGGTGAAACCTTGTTTCAAAAGCTTTTCAACGATAGATCATAAGCTTAATTCTGATCAGAAACGAGGAAGTTATAGCTATTCTACTACGAGTTATCTGTGTTGATTCGAACAGAGAATGCACGTCCGTGCCAAATTTTGCATTGAAATGTGTCTACTAAATACGTACAATATGATTGAAATGTGTCTTTAGCTACCAAGTTCGTTCATGACTTTATGTCACTAGGTGTCTTTAGCGACCAACCAATAATATTTGACCATAACGAATTCATACGACGGTGTAATTTTGAACTTTTTTTTTTGTTTAAAAATTAAAATGATATTCACATAATAAGGTAAACATAATTTGAAATTTTTTCTTGAAATAATTCACAATTTCACGAACACAAGGTGAGAAATGGTAATGTAATACTCTGTAATAATTTAATACTCCGTAGTACAAAGATTGGACACCAAGCCACCTTGATATTTTTCTTATATATACTACTTTCATTTCAAATTAATTGCAACGATTTGATATAAATTGTGAGTAGCAAATGTCTAATTAATCGTTGTAAATAACATTATACTTCTTTTATAGACGTGAAAAAAATCATACGACGTAAACAGAGCTATGACTCTATGACGTGATTAATACAAAGTATAATGTTATTCAACCATGTTGAATTTTACTCGTAATTGTTTACACCTAAACAACGACCAACATAAGGCCTCTATTTGTTGTTGTTGTTGGGTAATCTACATCATTAAATAGTAGAATTGACAATTTAGCCCAAATTAATTTGATCCTAGTATGTGCAAGACTGATGACTCTATCCAAAGAAAAAATCACTGATCCAAATATGATGGTACAACTAACTCTTAATTGACTAATTATATCAGGATTTGAAAATTATATAAAGGAAAATAAGTCTATTATTACAGCCGAGGACCTCATCAAAGTCTTGCATGCATCAAAATTTGCAGAAATTACGACGTACATTATTTATGAATATGCAGTTTTAATTCCATGGATTTGGGGGTCTCATAAAGGTATTAGGTATACTCTTGTATGCCATACAAAGTATATCATATGATAATATCATGTACGTACTGACGTCAAAAATTTGTTTTACGTACCCTATTTCCGTTCTGAGGTGTTTTTCTTAGAACAAAATATTGGTGTAAATAATCTAGCCTAGACATGAAACTTTATTAGTCCTTATAAATGAAAACCCTTAAAAATTATTGATTTTAATATCGCAAATTTCTACTAAATTGAAATTCTTTTACTAGTTAAGTGTGGTTGTAATTGACGTTAACTAATTAAAACTTTAATTCTTTTAATTAAAATTGATTTTTACAGATCAAAACTTGTCACATATATTTTTTTTTAAAAATACTACTATAAGGTGAAAAATCTTTTAATTTACAAAGTACATAATTTGATTTTCTCCCTTGGCAACAGTGAACTTTTAACTTTTACCATTAAATAATGCAACGTATATATCTTTAATTATGAATAACAGAATAGTAAATGTTGAATTTTGGAAGATATAGATTGAGATAAGAGAAAACTTAACAATATCTCACATGCATCACTGTTTATTTTATTCCTTATACGGAGTATAATTTGTGCAAACTATAAATTAAACACCAACCAACATTTTGTTGAAAGTACAGTAGTATATGAGCATTATTACTACAAAGTACAAGTGTTTGAATTGAAAAATACGAATGGAGTAGATGATTGATTACTGATTAGCCATGACAAAGTAATTTTCTCAAATAAATATTTCATACATTTATTGTCTTGAAATATCCGAAAGACAGAAATAAATAACACGCCCTCAGTTTATTCTCCTTATGCCAACTTAATTAATACGATTACATACTATGCATGCATATATGCATGTAATTAGAAAATATAGTTGTAATAGTTCAAACATGGCTTAAAAACAGTGGAGTACATATATTTAATGGATTAATTAGTGCCTCCAAAAATCTTCTTTAGTGTCTTCACGATCACGTGCCACGTGCGTGATGGTCAACACCGGAGAAGTAAAGTCAATGGTCATATTTCAACATCAAGGTCCCTCCTCACAACAAAAGTGACTTAGCTTAGAAGAACCTTCTTCACCATTTTGAACATATAAGGTCCTTCACAAAGAAATGAATATATAAATACCTTTTAGACAAATTTTCCTACACAAAATTATCTACGATGACTTTAGCAGGATCTTTACAAGAGTACCCTACTGGTCCACTAGGTAGGCTCAAATCTCCTACACAGTAATCAAATTAAAAGCAATATTCGCCAAAGAAAGATCAGAGAAACTAGGAGAGAAAAGACAAAGAAAATAGAAAGTTTCATATTGTATTTTGGTCACAAAAGTAAAAGCACGCTAGTTGTATACTTAGGGCATGTTCTCATTGACTGAACTGAACTGAGCTGAACTGAACTAAACTAAACTGAAATGAAATGAATATTTTATAAGAGAAGGAAATTAGGAGCTGAACTGAGCTGAGCTGAACTAAACTGGGCTGAATTGAACTGAAAATAAACGTATGAGGACAGAAGAATAAATAAAGTTGCATTTCTTTAATTTGAGGGCTTTGGAACCCTATTTATTATAAGATGCATGTATGTGGTGACTTGTTGAATTTTCCTTGCAACATGACAAGTAGCTAGACAAATTAATTGATCATTTGATCGATATCATGTATGAATTAATATGAAGTGGAATTAGTCATCGATCGATAGCAGAAAATTAAAATTCGTCAACTTGAAAATCGAAATTGAGAGCAACATAACCCTTGTCTAATGTGAGTCATATTCATATATTAAGGTTGAAGAAAAATTTAATGGGCCATACTGTAGATGAAATTACGAACATAATCAAAAGAAATGTTCCAATCACTTTATTCCAAAAATAAATAAATTCAGATATAAGGATTAGATTAAGACATACAAAATTGCATATAGTGATCATATTCATATACATTGTATATATTTCCCTAAAAAAAAAAAAAAAAAGATAAAGACATACAAAATTGCATATAGTGATCATATTCATATACATTGTATATATTTCCCTAAAAAAAAATGAGAAAATTGTAAAAAAAGGACCTTTTAATTAAGTGGTCAACTTTTTGAAAAAGGACTTTTAAGTGAAAACTTGTGAAAAAAGATCTTTTAAGTTGTATTTTGTTTGTATGGAGTACTTGGGTGAGCTTGCATGGTGGTCAACACCGGAGCTTCGAGGTTGACTATCACGTATTAGTCACGTGTCTTTTTTACAAAAGAAAAAACTAAAAAAATTTCCCAAATTTCCCTCATTTCTCGACTTAACCCTTTCATATAGTATTCTTACTGAGGTCGGGAAATGAGGGAAATTTGGGGAATTTTTAATTTTTTTAAAAAAATAGGTCACGTGATTAACATGTGATAGTCAACGCCGGATCTTTGGTGTTGACCACCTCGCAAGCTCACCTAAGTACCCCATACAAAAAAAAAATACAACTTAAAGGTCCTTTTTCACAAGTTTTCACTTAAAAGGTCCTTTTTCAAAAAGTCGATAATTTAAAAGGTCTTTTTTCACAATTTTCTCAAAAAAAAATATACATTGTATATATAAATATATAAGGTATATATATTATCATAATCAAACATTTATACTCCATATTATGTAAATTCAGTATTTAATATATAGTTTTAACAATTATAACAAAAAAGGTAAGTATTATAATTTCCATAATAAAAGATATTGTTCACATTTAAAGTATGAAGACTAGCATTGCACCAAAAAAAAAGTATTAACTTTGATTAAAAACCCCATAAAATAAAAAAATCAAAAGCTCCAAGTTTACTTCATCATATGGCTGGAAAGAATTCATTTGTGCCTCTCATTCTGGTGCTACTATTTGTCTTGTATTGTGGTAAGTGTTGAAATTGATATCGTAATATATTATCATTTTCGTTTTTTTTTCTGTAAAGAGATATTGTAATTGAATTATTTGAATTATCTTGATTAGTAAATTAATCCCACCGTTTCTTTTTTTTTTTTTAAAAAAAAAAAACTAATTTAGTTTTAAAATATAATCGTGTGCACGAAGTTACATATGTGGTTGGCCATACTGTGTGACTGGGGCTACCCGGTCGATTGTTGGGGGTTACTCGATTATTAGGATTTTACCCGGTCAACGTTTTGATGTGTGTGAGCTTGTCACACGGTGTGACACACCGCACACGCAATAAATTAGGTGAATGTGTTGACTCTTCGTAGCTTGTAATTATAGGAAAATTATACATTTCTAGTCAATTTCAAAATTATATGGTTTTTTTTTTTTTTTTTTTTTTTTTTGTCAAAAATATCATCTAGCCTCCTATCAAATTATCTTACACTTGCTTAGTAGTATGCCAATTTGATAGAAGAAGGGTGATGTGGCATGTGGTCCACAATTTACTAACCGTCAGACAGTCTTCTACAAAAATTTGTACAAAAAAAACTATCTAATTAATTACTTAAGTTGATCAATAATTTAAAATAAA